TTTCCTATCCTTCATTTAAATTCTATTTTATTTGTTCTTGGATGTCCTTTCAATTTAATTTTCAAACTTCAATGTAACTATCTTGTTTGTTAATCATTTTGTTTTTCTTCATGATTGACATACCAAACGAACAATCGGAACAAGACACGAGTTTGGGGAATTGTATTAGCTTTTAATCTTCGATTTCTTATGTTTCCTTTGCCTCCTCATATATTAGATGCCTAAAATGCTTTCTAGGCATTGAAGTTGCACATTCGAAAAAAGGCATTGTGATTTCCTAGGTATTGTGATGTTGATTAGGCAGGTTGTTCTATAGATTGACGTTCTACTTTTGAATAGTGTATTTGTTGGTGGAAATATCATCTCTTGGAAGAGCAAGAAACAAAATGTTGTTGCTAGGTCTAATGCTAAAGTAGAATACCGATCTATGGCTTTGGTTACTTGTGAACTTATATAGATTAAACAAATCCAGGTTGTCTACATTCAAACCCAATCCTTCATTCTCCCCATGCTCATCTTCCATAATCCATTCATCATCGAATGCGCAATCATCAAAATTAATTTGAACTAGTTTCCTTGTTTGCTTCATCTTAGCTAATTTTGAATTAGCCATGCCATAACATATACAACATCATTCATTGTGCTTTGCTTTAGCCTATTCCTTCTCTTTGTGTGGACCTAAACAAATGTAAATATGATCAGAAGCTAGCAAGTATAGTAGACTAGTAATTCTATTTTATAGATATATAATATATTTTAATTCTACTTAACTTACCATTTCAAAGAAACTCCAATTTCTTTCACATCCAGATGAGCTACATGTTAAGTGTAATACATGTATCGCAAATTTTTGGAGTTTTGGATGCTCATCACCATAAGACTCCCACCAATCTGCTGGAGTCTTTAAATTAATTGACTTAGTAGCCAAGGGACAACCAAAATATTTAGCTCGTCTTTTGAAATCATCAATTTAAACGTCAATTAAAGTTTGTTCATCCTCATCCTTCACCATCCTTGTTAGACAGTCCATTAGACCTCGTTTCACTTCCAAATCAGCCTTAAATCCTGGACAATAATGCATTTGAGGGTTAAGGAAATAGCGTGAAGCATGTAAGGGCCTATGAAGTTGCTTGTCCCACCTTTCATCAATGATGCTCCACAAAGGCAAATAACTAAACCAAAATATATTGAGTTAATTTTCTGTTTTCAGTTTCAAATAATTAAATAAATAAGTATATACTTAGTTACCTTTATTTGATAGCATTGAAAGCCATTTGTATCTTCTCCTTAGCTTGTTCCATTGCTTCATAAATGAGCCCCATGGCTGGTTTTTGATCCATATCAACCAATCGAAGCACTTCAATTAGAGGCAACGCACCCTTTAAACAGATTATGATATTACTCCAAAAACCCTTATCCAAAACCACATTCTCAATTGTTTTTCCATCCATTGTTTTTGCATACCTACTAGACTTCCATTCATTACTAGTAAACATTCTAATTAGAGCACCTTTGTTCTCATGAAGACACCCTAATGTTAAATAAGATGTGGCAAAGCGAGTAATACCTGGCCTCACCAAGTCTCTTCCTTTTGTGAAATGTTGTAGTAGAGAGATTAGAGAAGTTCTTGAATAGATAAAGGTTGTAATTCTTTTACCTTTTGGAATTGTCTCCTCATGAATTGGGATTTTCTTCTCATAATCCTCCAACATTAAGTCAACACAATGTGCTGCACATGGTGTCCAAAATAGCCTTTTTCTCTTTTCCATCAACATTTGACCAGCAGCTTTATAGTTTGCTGCATTATCTGTTACAACTTGAACAACATTGTCTTCCCCCACCTCTTCAACAATGCTATCCATCATCTCAAAAACTTTTTCAGCAGTTTTGGATATTGCAGAAGCATCTATGGACTTTAAAAACAAAGTTCCCTTTGGGCTGTTCACTAGGAAGTTGATTATTGTCCTTCTTTTCTTGTCAGTCCAGCCATCGGTCATAATTGTGCATCCAGTTTTCTCCCATTCGTCCCTATATGATTGTAAAGTAATTGATGTATTTTTCACTTCCTCCTTCAAAAGTTTGACTCTAATCTCATGATATGATGGAGGCTTAAATCCAAGTTCATGCTTTGAAACCAAATCAAACATAGCAATGTTCCTCACTCTTTGCCACATTGAAAGGTATTGCGTTGTTGTAGAAAAATCTAGCAATTGCTTGACATGCTTCCTCTCTCACACCTTTCTTAAACATGGTATTGATGGTGGCTTGTGTACTAATTACTCTCTTAAAAATATTTCTAGGACTGCCAGTGTCAATTGCTTCATTGCCTTTTCTTTTATCACCAGCTTCTAGACTTTCCTCCTCCTTATTAAGGCTTGATTTCTTGATCAAATTTTGTTGCAAACCAACAACAATTTCCCACATTTCCTTCTTCACTTCATCAGTAACAAGCTTGCAAGCACCAACAACCTTTTGAGTACCAGCCAAGTGATGCTTCAACCTGTAAACTCCCCCTGTTATTACCTTCTGGCAGTATTTACGTTGAAGTTTACTAGTATCCCCACCAACTGAAATACAATGCTTCCAAGCTATATCACTCCTATTTCCAGGAGCATTTTTGGGAGCCATAGGGGCAGAGGAATTTGGAGTTGGATTTGAAGTCATTTTAATGATTGTCTAGAAGATAACAAATAGCAGAAGAGTTAATAATTTATGTAACAGTCTTTCAAAAAAAAATAAAAGACTAGATGGCAGAAATAAGAGAAGGTGTAAGCTTACGGTTACAACAAAAATGTACAGGCTTGCAGTAAACAAAATCCAATTCTGAATCAGTTTATAACTTCTAGGGCAAGAGAGAACAAAAGCAAGGAAAGGAAATCAGCATTTCACAGCCCACACAAAGAGAGAATAAGAAAGGTGGAATGAAATGAGTGTGATTGGAACTTATTAAATAGGTTTAGAAGAGTAGAAGTGGTGGTAATTTATTTTTTATTCACGAAAGAAGAGCGGCAGTCTCTACTTTCGTAAAGGGAAGAAGATTTATTTTTATTCACCAAAGAAGAGCGGCAGTCTCTGTTTTCGTTAAGGGAAGAAGAGCGCCTGTCCCTGTTTTCATAAAGGAAGTGGCAGCTTCTCTGTTTTCGTAAAGGGAGAGTGGAAAGGTTTTATCTTTTTTAATCGATGTGGGGCAGAGGGCACCTTTCAACATTTCTTAAGTTATTGGGCTTTGGGGGAAAATAAATATGGGCTTATGTTAGGGTTTTTTTGGGCTGAAATGTGTTTTAAATTCTGGGTTATAAAACCGGGTCACAAATTTGACTCGCAAACTAACCTAAAAATAGTCTCGCAAAAGAGCGCCGTTTCCGTGCGAGTTACGCTCTTGCACGTCGATTCACTACGATCCGCAAATTCTGCGATCCAAAGCAGGGGTGAGTACGAAACTGGTGAAGAAGATCGTGAACGCGTCCGATCTTACGCGGCAAATCGCAATTCTGACTACCATGTTTATGAGAGTACTAAACACATAAAAGTGGACTGTCATTTTGTTAGATAGGAACTGTTGTCTGTGGGAGGAAATTGTTATTGAATTTGTCAATTTCTAGTGATCAAATTGCTGATATCACGACTAAATCCTTGAGGACCTCGAATCTAGTTTTTGTGTTCCAAGCTTGGTGCTTACAATTTATATGCTCCAGGTTGAGGGACAATATTAGATTATATATTGTTAGATTTATGTATTTTGTATTTTATATTTTCTTGACTGTATAAGGCTGTTCCTTCCTTTGTATTCTCTCTCATATATATATATATATATATATATATATAAATAATATTCAGAATTCAAGGTGGGTGATCCACCCCAAAAATATTTTCGTTCAAACCTTCAAACTTCAAGTGATATCACTATTTTGTCACATTTATTGATGTTTTTTACCATTGTTCTTGGGTTTTATTAATGAAGAATTGTTATGACATTTTTTCTATTTTTCATGGTTTTTTGCATGTTATTGCAAATCAGTTTGTGACTTGAATTAAAAATTTACAAACTGATAATGCATGAGTATATTTTTCTGCCTAGTTTTAGTCCTTTATAGCCTCACAAGGATTTATCCATTAAATGTCCTATACTCAAACACCATAATAGAATGGTGTTGCTGAACACAAAAACCATCACCTAGTTGCAACAACTTGTACCCTTATCCTTCACCAAACTGTTCCTCTTCGCTTTTGGGGTGATATGCTTCTCACTGCATGTTATCTGATCAACCACATGCCATTGTATTGTCCTCCACATTTATATTTTGCACTACATTTTATACCTTCAACAAGACCTCAACCCTGAGTGTCTTTGGATGCACTTGTTTTGTCCATGATTTGACTCTAAGTAAAGATGAACTCTTTGCAGAATCACTTAAATTTGTTTTACTAGGTTACTCTCACCTCCTAAAAGGATATCATTGTTTTTGCCGTCAACTATAATGCTATATCTCTGCTGACATCATTTTCTTTGAGTTGACTCGCTTATTCTCTATGTCCATTGTCGACGATGCTCCTTAGAATGTTCCCTAATCTGAATTTGAATAAATGTTGGTATCTCTTGAGATAAAATTATGTATCATTATGTCTAGGTTAAGTGTTTAGGTTCAATGTATCATAGTCTGTAGGAAAATTGTAACTAGATTCTATGAAAATATCAAGTTAGTGATGTAGATAAGGCAGTTTTCAGCATATACTTTTCTTCTGTATCTGATGAAGAAAAATCTTATCAGTATCTGAACACCTATTTCCTGTCAAAGAGTGTTTGATTAATGTTTTGCAAAGTCCATTCATTTAGTCTTGTTCTCTTCATGTTATTTATTGCTATATTCCCATCATTTAATTGGTCTATTTTATTTGCATGTTGCTGTTGTATCTTGCAGTTAGTTATTTGAACAGATCAATACATAAATCCCAATTTCTTCATCATTTAAAGTTCATCTTATTTGTCGGTGACTTTACAGCCAGTAGTTCAAAATATCAAGGTGGATAATCATCCAGGTGGAGGACACTGGTTTGCTGCTGGTCTATCACCTAACGTGAGTCAGCTACTACACTGAATATTACTGTCTTTATCTTCTCAAGTATTGTGAAATTGGAAAGATTTATGATAACTTTTTTAACTTATGAAGGACTAGATAACATGTTAAAAATATTTCCAAGAGAAAATAACCTTTATACAAATAAATGAGCATAAGGCCTCATCTCAAACTGGATTCAGAAAGGAAAAGTACATAAAGTCCTGTGGAGTAAAGGCTATAGTGACCAATGAATAGAGATTAATAAATTAAACTGGAGCAGCTTCATAGATAAGTTTAGCCATGCACACAATTAATAAGATTGACGAGTTGTGCTAAAGACAAACCATAATCTAATCAACAGTAAGGCCGTGGGTGTACACAAGGTTGGGGCTGTAGATAAGATTTTAAAGTGTGCTTAAGTAGAAAAAGTTTCTCCCTATAATAACTGTAATTTTGGGTCTAGCACTATGTGCTCAATCCAACCAGTGGAATCAAAGTAAAAGTCATGAATTCAATTTCCAAATAGGTATGGATTGCTTGCATGTGTTTGGTGGGGGATGGTTTGTTGCAAGGTTTTAAATCCCAGATAGCAGTGTAGAAGCTGATCCTGAAAACGCTATAGCAGTATAGTGTATAGTGGGACAGCCGCTATCCTAGCTTTTTATACAGTTTATATAGTATAAACTATATATATAACAGTAACTCTTAACAGAATCACGCGTTAGAAGAATTAAATATGTAATAGCAAGTCTCTTCACAGAGTCATACATATTTTACAGCAAGTCAACAACTCTGTTCACAGAAACAGAGGAAGAACAGTCAAGGAGAAGAAAACAGAGGAAGAAATGCAGTTGCTGGAATCAGAAAACCAGTTGCCAGACTGCTGAAGGAGGTCAATGGAGAATTTGTGGGCTGTTGGAGGAGTGGGTTGCAGTGAGAAAGTTGAAACTTGAGAGAAGTGAAGGTTGTAGGGAAAATTTGTGAAAGTTGTAAGGGGAAGTGAAAATAGTCTTCTCCTATACTATTTTATGTGTTTCAAACATATTGAGAAAGTCAACCAAATAAAAGAACATGTTTAGAAGACATTCACCAAAAAGGCAAAAAGAGGACTGTGTTCAGAAAAAAAGGGACCAAGAAAAAAATGTAAAAACAGCTTCTTATTTAATATGATAAAACTTAAAAAGGAAAAACTAAAGTTCCAAAAAAGCCCGAATATGAAATAACTGAAAAGTTATTTTCCAGAGGCCATTTTGCGGAAAATATGCTGTAGCAGCGCTATCGCAGCTGCTACAGCCACTATTCCAGCTGCAACATTGAAGTGCGCTGCTATGGAGGTACCCATTATGGCCAGGGGCCTCTCCGCCCTGCTATGGAAATGTAGCACTCTATTTTCATCCCTGGTTTGTTGCATGTCATTTCCAATTTTCTGCCTTGCAAGCATATTCCTTTGAGTGTTTATCTCCATCCAGAACTACAGTGTGATAACATACAAAGCAAGCTAGCATTACTACATGAGACTTGATGGAAAGTTGTTCAACATAATCGAATCAAAGTTCCAGAAGTTGAGGGTATACTCAAGAATCACCAAGTTCTCCCAAAACTTTGCTGTGAGGTAGGGCTGGGCAAAATTAACTAAACTTAACTAAAACTATTAAATAACTGAATTATTTTAAACTAAAAAACTAAAACTATTTAAAATAAAACTGAATTAAACTATTTTTTAATTCAGTTTTAAAAAACTGAACTTATTTAAGTTACAGTTTGGTTAACTATAAATAACTACACATTAAAAAAATAAAAGCACGCAGGCACGGGCACGGCGCTTGGCTCTCGTACGCGAATCCGGAATCCTTTTTATATATAAAAAATATAAACCGTACGTTGAAAATTGATGGCCTTAGTTTTTAAATTACCACGGTTAAAGGAATAAAAATGTTCTGTCTTTGCAGACTATGCAGAAACCTTTGATCAATAAAATACGATCAAAGTCTAGATGTAGCTAGAGTCTTCGATTTCTCAGAGTTATATGTTTTCCTTGATTGATTTGGTGAACTAGCTCTTGGAGTTTTTTAGTTACGTTAAAGACTAATGCTAGTTGAAAATATCACATACCTCTTGGCCCTTAGAAAATGACATTCATGATTCATGCCGATGGCTTGCTACAGTTTAGGAGAAAATATATGGAAAATTTGAGTTGGGCCATTGGGTCTGTGGTTCCTTAATAACTGCAGGGCAAAGGCAAATTCACTATGGAATATAAGGAACATTCTCCAGTTTCTCATGATGTACAAACGTAATTGATAAACACGTACAAGGGCAACAAGGCAGCTGAATAATCAGATTTTGGTATAGTTCATAAACAGTTCGGCACAGTTTAGAAGCAGTTCATAAATAGTTCAGTTCGAAAATAGTGTAGTTCAGAAATAGATTAAGGTGCAGAGCAGTTCAGTTTAATTTATATTATAATTCAGAGTACAGTACAGTTTAATAGAATAAAAAACAGTTCAGTTCAGTTTTTGTAATCTAATTTTCAGTTCAGTTCAGTTTAATTGAACTACTTTTCAGTTTAATATAATTTTTAACAGTTCAGTTTAGTGCAATTTAATTTGCCCACCCCTACTGTCAGGTAGCAGCTGGGTGATGTACAACTAAATTTTCTGTTTCTTAAAACAGAAAATCACATCTTACATATATCACAGGACAACCTTCTTAGGAGTACAAATCTTAAACTTCTTGCTACTTGTTGGTATCATTTTTATTGAAGGTTTCAAATGAGTGCCTTGACCTGAAACTTATTATAGAATATAGATTCCTGAAGGGCATAGCCTGGCCAAAATTTCAGTCTGAGTTTGGATAAGAATACAGTGGTACTTGTATAACAAAAGTTTATTTCAACCATTATGTTTAAAATCCACCCACTAATGTTTCATAATGTATCAACATAGACATTTTCTTGAAAGTGAATTATTCAACACAAAAGTAGCTCTTTAATAACCTCTAATTCCTAGTATCCAACTCATCTTACTAAAGAATTCCCATCCTTCAAATATGAAATTTGTGGTTGAAACTTAGCCATCCTTTCATTCCAATGGAAGTTCCCCTGTAAATTTTCTAATTGGGCTATCACATAATTTGGAATGTATGCATATGATATTTAATTATAAAATAGTTATATCGAATTCTTCCTAGTTGACTATGTTTTGTTCCTGCAGGTTCCAGGGAAAAACAGAGCTTCCCTCTATAGCAGTCCACATTTTCAAATGGTTCAACATCCACCTGCTAATAGTTATGGCAGTGTAGGAAGCCATGGGAGCTATAATGATAGCGTTGGGCTTGGAAGCAGCTATGGAAGTTATGGAGAGAGCAGTAACATGTTTGCTTACTATTCACCTATTGGTCCATCTGGTATGAACATGCACAATCAGGGTAGTATGTCAATGCTTGGGAATAGTCCAGATGCTAGGAGGAGAGTCAAGTACCAACCTGGGAATGGGCTGGGCATAAGTCCATCAGCTGGAAATTTCGCTCCCCTGCCCCTTGGTGCCAGCCCATCTCAATTTACTCCACCAAGTTCCTATAGTCAGGTTTCAGTTGGTTCTCCGGGACACTACGGACCAACATCTCCTGCAAGAGGAACTTCTCACGGATCACCTTTAGGAAAGTCAGCTGCAGTTAGCCAGTTTAATAGAAGAAAAAATTGGGGACATTCTGGAAGTCCTCAAACTCAAGAAACATTTTCTTCACATTGGCAAGGTCAATATTCTGACAGCTCAAGCCATACTGAGGGAACATCACAAGCTCTTGGCAGTTCACCATCATATCTACAGTCAAATAGTAATCCTGTAAACTGGAAGCAGCGAGGAAGTGGAGGGCTACCTGCTAATCAAAATATTTCTTGCTTGATTAAGCCCAGTGTTAATATGAACTCGCAATCAACAGAATCAGTTCATGACAATGCAGAGGTGGGCATTTCGTTGCCTGATCCTGGAGATTGGGACCCTAATTATAGGTAACAATTTTCCCCCAAACAGCTTATTTGTCATTGATTATTTTGAATTAAATGTGATATCTTGGATACCTGATTGTGTTTCATGTAACATTAATTTTTATAAAAATGACTCATGCCAACATGCAGAAGACTTTTTTTCTTTACACCATGTAAAACATTAAAGAGGAGAGAGTCAGCAAAGAGCATTTTACAAAGGGCTTGAAAAATTGTGGAGCCGCATATCAAGAGTGCCCTAGGTAAAGGGGTACAATACGAAAGCAAGTGTTTGAAAGCTCCCTTAATTTTGTTCACTGGCTTAATTGCAACCTATCAAAGTTGGATTCTCTTAGGAAAACCATTGGTCCCTACTACCTAGATTATTAAAAGAGGTCATCCATCATTTATTCAAGCACCAAGTCCAATAGTGCTAGCTGAGAGAGAAAAACTCAAGTTCCACAATAACTAGAGATAAGGTCCACAAAGAGTATATAAGTGGATGACAATCCTCATCTTATAAGCCATTTTATAGGGTTGAGTTAAGTCCAAACTGACATTCTAAGATGATATTAGAACATAAATTACGAAAATAATTCATACAAACAAAAAATTAGGACAAACTTGTAACACCCCTTCTCAAGTTGGTGCATAAATATCTAGCATGCCCAAATTGGTTATAAGGTACTCAAAATTTGACCTAAAAAGACCCCTAGTGAGAATATCCGCCACTTACTGCGAGGTAGGAACAAATGGCATACAAATAATTTCATTATCAAGTTCTTCCTTGATGAAATGTCTATCAATCTCCACATGTATAGTTCTGTCATGTTGCACTGGATTTTGTTCAATGCTTATTGCGACCTTGCTATCACAATATAACGTCATGGGTCAGTTGATACTCCCTCTCAATTCTTCTAGAACTTCATCAGCCCCATTAACTCAAATTCCTTGAGCCATTGATCTATACTCAGCTTCAACACTACTTCTAGCAAATACATATTGTTTTTTACTTCTCTGTGTAATAAGATTGCCCCACACAAATATACAATTTGAATTAGACCTTCTATCAGAGATTGAACCTGCCCAATTTTGCATCAGTGTAGGCTTCAACGGACTGTTGATTAGTTTTGTTGAAAAAAGACCTGCTGATTATGGATTTTGGGTCTAACTTAACTTTACAAAATTCAGTTGTAAGGTGAGGGTTGTCCCTACTTATATACTTTTTGTTTGTTTAATTTTTGGCCGATGTAGGATTTGGGATTTTTCAAATACACCCCCTTACACCTAGCATTATTAGGCTTAGTACGTGGATAAATGATGGGTGACCTTTTTTAATGATCTAAGATAGGCGAGACTTGTGTTTTTACCAATAGTCTCCCCCCTATACTTATGGACTTTTTTTGGAAACTTATCACCCTAGCAACTTCTAGGAGTTTTTTTTTTTTCTTTTCTGTTTTGCCACCCCATTTTGTTGGGCAGTATTAGTACAAGAACTTTGGTGCACAATGCCCCGTGGAGCAAAAATATTACCCAACATATTGTTAAAATCCCTTGCCATTATTACTATGGAAAATTTTAATCTGGGCTTGAAATTGTGTTTGAATCATGTTATAAAACTGTTTAAACATAAGTGCAACATCAATTTTTTCACATAAAAGAAATATCCAGGTAACCCTAGTGTGATCATAAATGTAATGAACCAACGTATTCCAGGAATAGTTTTTATTCAACAGAGACCCCAACCCCATACATCGTTGTGAAACAGTAAAAGGCTCAGATTTTTTGTGATGTTTTGTCAATTCACAAGATTCACATTTAAAAGATAATTGATTTATTAATAAATAAATGAGGAAACAGATATCTTAAATATTGGACTCTAGGATGTCTTAATCGACAATGCCGTAACATAATGACATTATTAGAAACAAAACAGAATTGAAACAAGATTGCTGGTTTTGCTTTTGGCTGTGAGCTTGTAATCAAGAAGATCAAGACCATTATCTTTCTCAAGACTCCCAATCATCTTCCCTGTGAATACTCCTCCAATTCAAATTGATTGACAATTATGACCAAGGGTTAGTTTGCTGACAGACACTTGATTGTATGAAAAATTAGGGACATGTAGGACATCTTAAAGAGGTAAAGCAGGGGAAAAAGTTACTGTTCCTTTTCAAGCTACCATAGCGGGCCATCGGCAAGTTTAACCTCTTGATTTCCAGCACACGGGGTATATGATGAAAAAAATTGCCAAACGCTAGTCATATAATCAGTGATACCTGGGTGTTATGGGCTGTTTGATATACTTGAAAAGGATTGGCCAGGTTACTTACAAATTGAACTTACCTGATGGCAGCCCTCTGCTGTCTGTATTTCATGTTATTTCTGCTCCTGCTCCGAGTCAGCCAATTACTGCTTTTCTATCATAAGAATGGTGCAAGGTTTATCAGTATGTCCTATAACCCAAATTGAATCAAAAAAATAAATTGATGTTAGGAGTTACCGGTGCTTTTTAAATGAAACAAGGAATGAGGAGATCAACATAAGATGGCTTGAATCAAAGAGATGTCCTTTAGAAAACAAAATACTAAGAGAATAATAAACTAAAATATTAAAGGGGGAAACTAAAGTAAATACAGAGGTGAGAACATGATCTAGTGTTGTCCAAGATGGAATTGTATGAAACTAGAATCCATCTTGGGGAAATTCAACTAATTTTGGTTGATGATAATCATGAATCAGACTTAGTAATGGGATTGAATCTTTTAGTACTCATTTCCTTAATTTAATTACTAAATTAAATATGATGATGAATTGATGATATTATTTTTCTCATAATGATTTTAATGTCATTCCAGTGATGAATTACTTCTTCAAGACGATGGTTCAGATGAAAGCTGTTTGACAACTGAGTTTGGCAGAAGTATGAATCTTGGTTCTACTGAAACTTGGGCTGGATTTGGAAGGTTCAACCATGTTTCCAGCTCCAACACTCCAATAATCATGCAGAGGTGGGGTATTTGCTGTTAATTTTGACATTTTGCTTTACTTTTTCTTTGGTTATTGTTCCTATACTATGTTTTCCTTGGCTGCAGCATGGGTTTATTCATTTAATGTGCTGATGATTTTCCCCATCAGATTAAGCTTTGCAAATGAATTGCACTCCTCATAACAATGCTTTTAAAATAGGAAAAAATGATTTTCCTGTATCCACAACAAAATTTATGAATCTTTTAAAATAGGAAAAAATGATTTCCCTGTATCCCAATAATATTGCAGTTTATGTACTTTATGTGATTAACTTACTGGCAAATCAAAAATTCATGGAATATTTTTCCTTTAAAATTTAAATAATTCTTGTTATATTGTCATTAATCACTTTTACTGTCTTTTTCTCGTGCTTCAGACGAAATGGACCAAGTCAAGCATTTACTAATGTTGAGATGGGAAACCTTCCGACACATGATCTTCAGGCAGCATATGTACCCTCTATGTCTAAACATTTTCATCTCATGCCTCATATTTTACAAAATTCCCCAAGCCGTTTTGGGCACCAATCTGTTCAAAGATTCACCCATGGAAGACCCCCCCAGGGGGCTGACTGGAATCAAATTAAGATTCAGACTCCTTCTGGCATCAGCAGTGGCCCTCGTTCTCCCAGGAATACCTCATTCTCCAACACTATGACATGGGGTATATATAATACTTTCCAAACTTTACTCTCTTTTGTATGTTATTTGGATTTTGTTACCCTCAAATGACTTTACTCCAAGCACAAGGGATCACACAAATGCTCAATTTTATTTTATTTTTTTTATGGCACCTCTTTCCTGATTAGTTGTCAGACTTTTTATATTTTTTATTTTTATTGTTTTTCCTTAATGAACATCAAGTAGTTATTGTGAGAATAAAAAATGAAAAAAAATGTCACTGTAATCTGATAGTTTTCCAAGAAAAAAACTTGGGGTATCATAGAAGGTCTTCCAAGGCACCACTTCCCGTTTTGTTTTCAGCTTTTATCAAAATGGACCATTACTTTTACAAAATAAGAACGAAAGAAAACTACTATGATGTATTTATATCATTCTAACTTGGCTGGTATATATTGTAGGGCGAAGAATGAATCCTCCTGTATCAAGCATGCCTCCAACATCCCGCACAAGAAAAGATTATGCAAGGATAGACTAGCATGGCCAGATTCAATGGTTCATCTTTTTTCTTCTTTTTTATTTTATTTTTTCTTGGAAGAGGTGGGGCAGGGCATGACAAGGTAGTCTGTGTAGAAGGGGAAGAAATGAAAAAAAAAAAAAAAAAAAAGAAGGCCAGTACCCAATGGTTCGTTAACAAATCCTTCTATCTTTGATCAGTTATTGTGCTTGCGCTTAAAATTAATTTGTGATTATAGTTTGCATGCCATTGATCATTTATTGGGGTATTGGTATTTGGTAATTCAAAGGTACTATATATGCACTGATGTGCTGATGTACCTTTCTGAAAGGTTTGTGCTCAATGAAATCCTAAGAGAGTTGGTAGCGTGAAAAAAAAAAAAAAAATCAGTATTATCGTGTTTTTAATAGCGGTTATTGAAAGAGTCCTTACGAATCTTCCTACTTATTTCAAGTTTGATATGGTTTGCCGGTTGCCTTCTACTGAGATTCTTAACGTTTGAACATTGTTACATTCATACCTTGCTGCATCAAATATGAAGTATGTAGCTGCCTAACAAGAGTATTTTCTTTGGCTGTTGACAGTGAGTGGGTGATTTAGTCAAGAGAGTATTTTACGGAACTGTATATCTGTAAGATTATTTTGTTTTTCTCACCGTATGCCCTCCACTCCTTATAAATAATTAGGCTTCCTCTAAGAGCCCTCTAATTTCATTTATTAGGAATCGACCGAAGCTTATTTTCTTTCCGCATGGTTTGATGCATAGCTTGCTAAAGAGGTATGGCCTCCAGTAATTCATTTTACAGTGAAAAAAATTGGTAGAATGTTATGTTATTTGTCGATAATTGATCTTTAATTTAATTTAACTCCCCTTGTTTTATTCAAGATTTGGTAGACTGGGAGTTAAGTTTTGAGGCAAGGATGTGTTAAACACGCAAATCGCCAACATGATCATGCAAATCAACACGTCTAATATAAATTTGCATGATTTATCATTCTCATTTCGCGACGTGGTCCTGTAGATCCCTAGCATGGTATTGCGAATTAACAAACGGGAGAATAAATTTATAGGTGCCTCCTCCTACGCTTGTTAGTTAAGTTGGTAGAGGGAGCAATAAAACTAGAAGTGTAAATGAGTTAAACTAATCATACACTACTTGAGTTCAAGTGGTCAAATTTTTATCTGGCTTGTTTATTTTATAAAGATTTTTTTTAACTAGATTAACATATAAAGAAAAATTTATAAATGTTAATCTTAAGATTTATAAGTTTGACAAAAAGAATTGTAAAACTTAAATATGTTTTTAGTCTTTGTAAAATGATTATTTTGATTTTAGTTCCTATAAAAAATTATGTTTTTCATTCTTCTAATATTTGTAAACATTATTTTTAGTTTACGTAAAATGACCAAATTTTACTTTGAGTTAATCACCTATACACTGTTAGTGTAAAATTTTTTTACACTAGTAACCAATTATATCTTTTAATTGTGTCATATCACTATAAACACATTTACTTTTAACAATGACATGGTATAATTAAAAGATATAATTGGTTACTAGTGTAAAAAAATTTTACACTAACAGTGTATAGGTGATTAACTCTTTTATTTTTAATTTTTAAATGATATATGTATTTTTTAAAAAATTTATCCCTCAAATTTTAAATTCATTATTTTTGGTCCCTAACAATCATTTTAGAGTTGATAAATATCATTTATTTTAAATATTTATAGAAAAATTAGAGGAGTTAAAACCTGACATAGTATCACTAATAATTTTAAAGAACATCTTGGATACTCAATCTTTTAATAAATAAATAAGTAGTTAAAAATAATCACGTAATAATAGAGACCAAAAAAAAGTAGTTCCAAATTTTAGAAAGATGAAAAAACAGAAATTATTTTACATGTATCAAAATCAAAACTTGTTTATTTGCATGGACTAAAACTTATTAAATTTAATTTGTATATATATATATATATGGTGTGTGTATATATATAATGATAAAAAATGATAATTTTATGCAATAAAATGAAGATGCTTGGTAAATTGTAATTTTATCTAAAAAATGATGATTAAATTATTTTTATATTTGAATATTTTAAGAGAAAATAGGTGATACACTAACAGTGTAAAGTAACTTTACATTATCATCTACTTACAAACTATTAACTATGGTAAATTGTTGACTTTTATAATAAAGGTTAAAAATGTTTTCTTGATTCTCATAGTTTTACTTACTTTACCTTTTAGTTTCTATAATTTAAAATAGATTCTTTTAGTCTTTATATCTATCTTTTTCAATTATTTTTAATCCTTAGAGTTTAAGACAAATGTTTTTAGTTCATATACTTGCAATTTTTTTTAATTCTTTTATTGTAACGTTATCTCTTTCGTATTGATATGACAGAAATATTGATTCAAATTTGTATCTTACATCAAATTTATTTTGTTGAAATTACTCTAAATTAGGTCTCTGTGTTTTGTGTCTTTTTTGTATCCTAACCAGCAACAACTTCCATTGTTGAGATACCCTATTTTTTCTACCTTCATAAAATTGAAAATTTCTATCACGTCAACACAAAATAAATAATGTTATAAATAAAAAATTAACGATAGGAATTAAAAAGTTTAAAAAATTACAAGCATAAGATTTATATTAAACTATAAAGACTAAAAAAGATAAATATATGGATTAAAAAGATATATTTTAAATTATAAAAACTAAAAGATAAGATGAAACTAAATAGAGACTAAAAAAATATTTTAACCTATAATAAATAAGTAAAAAGTCATACAAATAGTATCGGATTGGATTACAATGTAAAATTATTTCACACTATTAATGCATCACCATTAAACTCATTCTTATATTCACTTTATTTTTCTTAATTTTATCTCATACTCTATTATAAAATCATTTGCTAAATATTTTAGAAAACATCTTAATAATATATTTGATAAATAAAAAATAATCACGTTTTTAAAGTGAAGCTCAAGTTTAATATTTTTCTAATAAGTTCAAACCTAAATATCTTGTAATTATATTTTCACATTTATTTTAAAATTTTGATTGTTTTATATAATTGAGAAAATATTAATTATTTTTCAATAAGTTCATTTATTTATTACCTAAGTCCCTTAATTATTTTATAATAACATTTTAACATCTTTAAATAATAATACTTTAGTATAAAAATTGTAACAGTAATTGATACGGATAATTTTTTAAAATTTGCATGATACATCAACGCATTGAAAATACAAAAAATATTAATTCTTAACTTTTGGTTAAAAACATAATCTTGAATGCTTGTGAACTTCATTAAGCATAATGATACAGATTTCAGTCCAAAGCTTTTTTTTAGGTTTTCTGATAATTCATCTTTCCAGAAAACCGTTTTACATTGTTATAAAAACAAACCTGTATTAAAAGATTATATATATATATATATATATATATATATATATATATAATAAAAAAGAAAAAAAAAAAAAC